GACTTGCGGTCTAAGCGGGCTTCCTCTCAGAACTGGGGTGGAGTGCATGTTAGGAAGTTCATCACAGCGTCACTATAAGAGCTTTCATATTCTTTCTAAATTAGGGTGATATCCACCATATTCTAGATTTCAGCCTATGAGACTTGAAATAGTCTAGTTCCCTCTTCCTAGAATTTTGACCAGAATATTCAAACCCTAAATCATAAATCTGCCAAACGGGTAGTTAGGCACCAACGACTTACATAGATGTGATTCCTGGGAAACTAGGGTTCTGGCATGCTCGTATACTGCTTTATGTTTTGACTGTGAAAACAGATCTTTATTGTAAAAGTTATGATCAAGCATCAATAGAAATTATAAAGCAAAAGAAAAAAAATTAAAAGAAAAATTTTAAGTAGCAGACACAGTTTCCAGCTAAATTCAAAGGAATGCAGATTCCTGGCATAATGACTGCAACACAACAAAATTCTTCTCCCCCCGCCCCCCCACCAGCAAGTGTCCATCAACATGAAACAAAGAGAACGTTCTGGGTGAAATGTATACGCAAATCCCCACTCTCCATTCTTAGCTAAGTGCTCTTTGTTTAGAAAGAAAGAAAGAAAGGTTATTTTTGACTAGGTTGTACATTTACAAGGTTCAAAGTTCAAAGCAGTATATTCAGAGAAAAATCTTCCTTCCTTGAGCCCCTGTTTTCTTTCTACCCTAACCTAGTTCCCTGGGGTGGGCGGCGGTGGGATCTTATCGGTTTCTGTTTAAACCAGGCCCTGCGGAATGTTCTCTTGCTTTGAGGCAGAAGAGAAGGTTGGAAATAAAGGCAGCGTGAGGAAGAGGGAGGGCCAGCCCCAGTGAGAGGTGACTTTGTAAGGCCCAGGCTCCAGAACTGTCCGGCCTGCTCATTCATCCCCCAAGCTGAAGGAAGGAAGGACGTGCCTTCCCCTCCCGCCAGGCCTCCAGCTTCGCTCTCCCTCCTCCGTCAAGGGCACAAGTGGGGAAGTGCCTGCAGTGGCCCTTTTCTTCTTTCTTTGGCCTCTTGCTTCAGGCTCAGTCTGCTCAGTCGAACCCAAAGCGCTTTCCGTCTCAATCCAGGTTCACCAGCACATCAACATCTCTTTAAATAGAATGCAAATTTAAAAACCACTCCTAAAAATATTAGAATGGTTTCTCCACCCCCCTGCTTGAGCCTATTTATAATTTCAGCAGCTATATCATCGCAGGGTGTATTTTTGCTGCCTGCTATATAAAGTGGAACCTTCTTTTGTTAGCACTGTGTGTGGATGATTCCACTGAGCTAAATCCTGCCTAATGCGTCTTTCTTGAATTCCAGATTGCTTACTGGGAAGTATTTGATGGGTCAGTAATCAGAGAGCTGGACGGTTCCTTGTCCGGGTCAATCAATGGCATGGATATCACATCGGAAGGAGTACACTTTGTCACAGGTTAGTCCTGGGATTAGCGAAGAAAGCCAAGCCCAGCTTATCTCAATGGGAACATGGAACCCCCAGGCGGGAGGCAATTGGAAGTGACCACAGAAGAGTATAAAGGTTAGATTCACCACTGTAGCCGGCGTGGCTCGGAAAGAAAAATCCAGAAGTCACGTTTCAATGAGAGGAAATGTTTGCCCGCAAGCTTTAAGGGCACAAACAAAAGCTAAGCTCCCACTGTTTACTTTTTTGTGGTGGGCAGCGATGGTAGAAATGGACCTTTGAATGGTCTAGGCTGTCTGGCCTGCCTTGCCCTGCTGTTTTGTGCCAAACCCTTAAAAGCCAGGCTCTTAAATCAGTATTTCCCACACAACGCGCCTGTTGGAACAGCATCAGTCTCATTTCTTGCCAGCCTCTTGGACTCTTCAGGACATTAACAAATTAGTGTTCCAAATCAATTAAATCTTCACAATTATATTTACTTAAAGCATGATATAAAATTAAACACAGTATGATCCCAATCACATATACAGATATGTGTCTGTGTAACTTACAGAAAAGAGACTGGAAGAAATTAAACACTGGAAGAAATTAAACTGGTGGGATCAAGGGTGATGTTACCTCTTTGTATTTTTTCCCCCAAATTTACTACAACAGACCTAGATTTTTATAATCAAGGAACAGAGTTATTATAAAGATAGGTTTTTCTTTCCTTTAAGTTGTCACCTGGGGAATGTACTGGAAATGATCCAGTTATTTAAAATCAGGAGTGCTTCTCTCTGTCCTATCACAGCAATGCCATATAACTGTCTGTCTTCTTCAGGTGGAAGTGACCATCTGGTCAAAGTCTGGGATTACAATGAGGGTGAAGTGACCCACGTCGGGGTGGGGCACAGCGGCAACATCACCCGCGTTCGGATAAGTCCAGGAAACCAGTATATCGTTAGTGTGAGTGCCGATGGGGCCATTTTGAGATGGAAGTATCCGTTTCCCTCGTGAAGCCGCGGAGACCTGGATTCACAAGAATCACACACGGTCCTGCTGAGTGAGGGCTGAGCTTCAATGACTCCAGGATTAGTCTTGGTATCTCACATCTGTGTTTTTGTTCTTTGGTCAAAATATTTTACCTACAAGTTTCTCCTTTCCTTATAGGATGCATTTTACATTCTTAAATTATATATTAAAATTGAAATGTGTTCAAGAATAATTAGTCCAGACTGTAATTTAAAGTTTTTCTTCTTCTTTTTTTTAATGATGAGTAAATTCCCTGTCATCCTCTCGAGTCTATGACTCTGCAAAACCCACAGTCCTTCCTCCTAGTTTGTGCACTAATAAGCTTTGCTGTTTTTCTCTAAAAATAAGGAAGGTGAATTTACCTTCTTAATCAGCATTTCATTGGTCAAGCTGGCTGGGGCGAGACCTGGGTTTGAATCCAGATCTTGGTTAGGGTTTTTGTCTTGTTTTGCATCAGCTTTCTGTTATTCTGTTTTCTCTTCTGTAAAGCAAGGCTACCTGCTCAAAAAATTCTTGTGAGAATTAAGTGAAATAATGTATTAAACCATCAGCAGAAATCCTGACACAGAGTAGAAAGTTAAGCACGAATGATGGTGCTTTCCTCAAAGAAAACGCGTGTTGGGGATCTTTGGGGTAATTATCACAGGTGAAATTTCACAGGTGCTTTTCTGGAGTTGGCCATATAATCTTTCTCGTCTGCTTACCATTAGAAGGGCGAAGGAATAGACCTTGTGTGTTTATCATCCAACCAGGTATCCTTTTCCAGAGAGGGTAAATAATGGCGTTTTCGAGAAACACTTTGAGTCTTCAATTGCACAATACAGTCATTTGTTCTGAGCATAATCTTTACCCTTTAATAAGTGCTTCTTTTCTGACTCAGGTAACTTGCTGCTGCCCTATTTAACATATCAAGGTGATATTTAATAAATGATGATGAGCTATTCATCAAATAATAAGAATCATTTCAGGGTTTTGATGTAATAATGCATCCTGCTGATCTCTTGTTGAGCTAGAAATTGAGAAATTCACTTTGCAAGACTTTGCCTGATTAATTATAAACCTGACAGTTATAGGATAAAGTGAGCAAGGCCCCCAGAATTACCCAGGGAATCAAGGGCGGGACAAGGCAAAGCCAATTCTTACACAGCCAACAATTCAGCCAGGATTTTGCGTTAAGAAGTGAACACAGGACCTCGTAGGGGGCGCGCCCGGGAGCCGGAAAACTTCCTGGTAAGCAAATTCTGAGCTTGGAAAGAGTCAGGCTATGCGGCTGGCAGTCTACAGTTCCGGTTTCTCTGCTTACGGGTCTGTGACCTCAGCCCATTGCGTTAACCTCTCAACCCGTTTCTCCAACTAAAAGGAGGACGATCAAGTCTCACTTGAAGGTTTGGGTAAACTCTTTAACCTAGCCTGTAATTTAAGCAAGCAGACCGCAACCATCACGGGGCAGCATGCGGCTCCCGGTTCTGAAGGTCCCAGGACGGCGGGTCCCGGGAAAGGCTCTACCTCCCCTGCGAGGCAGACGAGCTAGAAGGCGGTGGCGCCACACACACCTGAGCCTGCGGAGGAAACAGCCGTGCACAAAAGTGCTCCCCATCCTTTCGCGGCTCCCAGTGCGCGTCTGTGCACAGCGCCCGAGGCTACCCCTTGGGGAGTCTGCCTTTCCATTCTCTTCACATTCACCTGGACGTAATTACAGGAAACCTGGAAATCGCCAGGGCTCTGCAGTTCACGCCAGGGCGTTCATATTAAGTCATTATTTTCACAGCTTGAAGGCTGGGAGGTGAACAGGAGCAGAGGTTAAATTCAGGTCGGTAGGCTTGTAAGAGGTAAGGGAGCGGGGAGGGAGGCCGAACGCCGCCCTCCAGCGCTTTTATTCCGGGTCCGCGCCGCGGGGGCGGGACCCGGCGGGGGTGGGACCCGGCGGGGGTGGGGGCGGCGGGGCGCTGCCCGGGGCGGGCCCGAAGGCCGGATTCCCGCGCGGGGCGGGGCGGCTCCGCCCTTGGCTCCGCTCCGCCCGGTCCCGGCAAACCTGGCCCGCAGGTAGCCGGCGCCCGGGCGCTTTCCGAGCTGGAAAAGCCTGTTAGCGGTTCGTCGGCCCCGAGTCCGGGGTCTGGGGGCTCCGCTCCTGGAGGGGCGCCGGCGGGAGCAATGGACCCGGGCACGGGGGCCGCGGCCGGA